CTACTACTACTACTACTACTACTACTACTACTACTACTACTACTACTGAAATTTGTTTATACATAATTTAAAACATTTATTAAGATCCATTTTGAAAATTATATGCTATGGCAAATGCATTTCGTAGGCGAAACACGTTTACGGAATTTCGAAAATTTACATTCAGCTTACGTCTCTGCGCATAATTTTAGGAACAATAGTAACAATAGTAACGTCACTAGCAGCGGAAAACTTAGGTAAGACAACATATAACATTTAAAGACGAATTGAAACCAAAATCTTATTATATTTTATAATTTATTTTTTTCATTGCAAAAAAAAGACAAGAACAGAAATGATTTCGTTACTTTAACAAGGGACGTCTTTTGAGTTTAATTACATGTTCTCACGGAATCCATTAATAAAATGCCTCGAAAAATATGGAATTCTCTGTTGTAGAGTGCAATGATTAAGTTGTAAGATATTTGCAAATTTGTCATAAGCAGGAATAAGCGAGAATATAAAATTTGTCATAAATGAGGTTCTGACATATACCGTCTCAAGCTGGTTCCAGTCGATTTCAATAATTCCAGCCATATGCTAGTTACGTAATTATGACTATGTTTATGCCTACCATTTTAATGGCAGCATAAAATACTTTTACAAAATTGTAGATGATCACGATTAACTAGATTCCACGTTAGTGGAGAATTTACACAGTCTATAGGGATTTCAAAAAGCTTATCTGGGTGCTATAAACATAATATTACAATTTCAATATCGTCAGGTTTCGGCGGCGGTTATGGAAACTGCTGGAAAGCAAAGATTGCTGCCAACTGTAGATATAGCAATCGTTAGAGTCAAATGTCAGAAAAAAGAAACGGTAAACCTTGATACTCTACGCGAAAGAATACAAAACATTATTCGTTGGATAGAACATATGCCTGAAGTATTGAAAGACGCAATCAAGGTCAAAATTAGAATAGATTTCGCTTGTATGGGCGGCAGGATTCAAACTTCGCCGGAAGACCCTCGACCGCATACTGCGAAAGTTTGAGATAGAAGCTCATGAGGGACGAAAATGTGTCCGAAAGCCTCGATACCCATCAATTCGTCCTCGAGTTTTCCTGCATGCCGCACGGCACACTACCGCGACTGGTCGTTCTGTAATCGCACAGCCGCCCTTTGGAATAATCTACTAGCAAAGCTTTTTCAAAGACGTTTGCACCCCTTTCTATCTGTAACTTTTTCTGATCATCACCATGCTCGCACGCGAAGGGGTCATATACAAAAAAAAAAAAAAAAAAAAAATTGATGACTTAATGCTTAATGAACTAACTGTTCAAGATTCTATATCACTAAGGTCAAGTGCAAATCAATATAAGTTTTTTGGATAATCGTCTTTCATCTAAGTCATATCTGTAAGTGCTTTCTGAGGTGTAGGCCAATTCATAGGCAGATTTCAATATCACATAAGGGACTAATGATTTAAGTGAAAAAAAAATGCGCGCATAAGCAAATAACATCAACTCATGCACACGCAAAAGTAAATAGAAATAAATCTCTAACCGTAAAAGCATCAGTTAAGCAGATTGTGACGTTTAACTCCTTTAGAGGTGTTGCCAAAAAAGTGAGGGGAAATTAAGTAAATAATAAGAGTAACAGTTAAGAAAACACAATAAAATAATTTAAGAGGTTGTGCTTTATTTTAAGCCGTATTTTTGCAGTTAATATATTATATGACTTGGAAGGCAAAATGTAATTTTTTTTTTTTTTTGTTTTTTTTCAATTTCTACCATAATTTTCTTTATGTATATATATAGTATTTAGGAAATTGCTTTTGTAATACATATTTATTGGCCCAAGAAAAGGCTTATTATGTTACAGTCAACTGAAATAAATAAATAAATATGTTGCGAAAAATCTATAGCTGTCTGTTAAAAAAACATCTGAATGAAAGCTAAATAGTTTGAAAGATAACGAATGTAATGAAAGCAAGTAAAGATTTTCAATGCTCAAGTGTCAGCCGCTATGATGACATAAAGTTGTCTTATGCAACAAACGATTAACAAAAATTCCCGCAGAAATCCGCAAATATGTGAAGCGAAATGCAGTATTTGTGGTTTGTTTTCAAAATTCTTACAAGCAGACGATTTGATTAACACAAAGCGTTCCCAAAAAAAAGTCAATCGAGTATGTGCGTGAGTCGAATAAAATAAAATGTGGTGAAATGCTAAGGATTTAGTTTCTGTAAATAACTTTCTATAAACCTTGTAAATAAGTTTTTGTAAACAGTCTTCTACTTTTGTAAATACGGTCTGCGGTCTAAATTTATAAATTCAGTAATACGAACCTAACCTGAGAAATATTAGGAAGAGAAGCCGCTCTAGAATAGATTGAATTCGCGGAGGTAGTTCAGCGTATAGATAAGTGCTAAACAAAATATATAAATATTTTTTTACAAATGACAAGAAAGGGCAAGACCGGAACCGTTTTCGCGAGTCACTTGCTTCACTTAAAAGCTGTACGTAATAATACATTGCCGACTGTATAAATTGCAACTCAATATATGCTACCCACCATCTGATTTAGCAATCATCAATATAGGAGTTTGAATGTATGGCGAAGTTGACCAATAATCATACAAAGTTCCTTTACGAACTTGTCCCATCAAAATAAGTAAATCCATAAATTTTTTCATTTCTTGTATTGTCACGTCAGTCCATTTAGCAATTTTATATTCTTTATATTTGTGTGAAACTTGAATGTGGTACCTGTTGGTTTCTGTTGTGAATAATTCGAATAAATCATTTTCAAGGAACAATTGCATTACATCCAATACACTTTCTTTATTTTTTGGTATAATGTTTACACCTGAAGTTCGTTGATATCCTTCTAAACATATATCCTTATCATTTTCTGACCACTCGTCCTCATCACTTTCCGAATCGTTTGAAATTATTCTACGACATTCAATTCCTGGTCTAATAATGTCCCCATCACTATCTTCGGTGTCGTTATCATGGATATCAAAACTGTCTTCTGAACGTTCTGATGCAATATCAAGGCGAAATTCATTGAGAGCATCTTCAATTTCCTGGGACATTTTATTATAGCCTTTTGTCTATTTGCCAAATATTTAAAAAAAAAAAAATGCTATAGAGTAGTTTTCCTCAATACAAAACTTGTAAGTTTAGAGCTGTAGATAAATTTGCTAACAGCTTTCTTTCACAATTTCATGAACCGTTTATCAGAAATATTTACTGTTATTCTCTTTTAAATTATCTTAATTATTTAAAAACTATAGGAATCAACGAAGAGAAGCGGGCATCAAATTACATACAATAAATATAAATTGTCAAACGGGGATCCCTGATCCCTGATCGGTCGTGCACTGATATTTTAAAAAATGGGAGATTTCCCCGACCGGTCAGCAATGTGTTAATATATTAAAAGCTTCGTATGACTTGAAAGCTCCCTATGCTTTAGAGAATGTGATTTTAAAATTACCGTAAAAAATTAAAGCAAAAGCAGTGAAAATTGTACGAGTTGTTTGATGGTCCGTATTGAAAAACGCGTCTAAAATTTGCAATTATTTTATAAACATATTCTCGAATATACGATGTATTTAGCTTCTTTTTTTTTTGGGTACATCAACACTGTAAAATTTCCCTTCCATGTTTACAAATTCGCAAGGCTTTCACATTTTTTCCCCGCAAAGATGTTTAGTAAAAGGTAACACTTTATAATGGCAGGAATCACGGCAAAACCTTTCACAATTCTGCAGCTGAATCCCTGATTAACAACAACAACTTCATCGTGAACTTTTAAATTCCCGGCAGAAGGGCTGACTCATTTCGTATCACACTCAATGTTCTATTCATTCCAAGGGCGTCTCGATCAAGGTACATGAAGCTGGTTTTCTTAAGAAATACATTTTTAATAAAACACAAACACTTCTTAAGGACAGGTGTTAGTGTGTGGCAGAAGTTAGTAATCAATTCAAGGCATTCATTCGGTTTTTTCGCAGTACTTGGTAAAAAGGTACGAAATTTCAAAGCAAAATTTTCTTCTAAGTAATGCATCTTTGTCTGCCTAATTTATTATAGATCATTCAAAGAACTTATCAAGAAGGACACATTAACTGTGGCCTCTCACTTTTATGTAAAACAAAAATGGATCTTACGCTGCAAGATTTTCGATGTAAATTAAATTTTCATTTACTCTTTACTCAAAACGTGAGTAGATGAGATTTGTTACTCTAAAGCGCAACCACAAAACATCTATGATTTTAATTAGTGAACGGCTCAACTCAATCGATATCAGCTTGTTCAGAACTTTGTTGTCTATTGTCTGTTGTTGTAAGCTGAAGTCATTATAAGTACAAAAATTGAAAGAGAAAAATTTTTGCTTACCATAAAGCAGATCTAAAAATAGATTTAATCCGCTCACAAGTCTTGTTTGCAACACCTAAAAAGATAATAAGAATTTAAGATCGAAAATGTGGTGGTCGGCATTATTCCTATTACAGCATATCTTAATGTGGAGGCAATCCTAGTTATCCAATTCTCTCCTTCGTATTCACATTTCATAAAAATATTTTCAAATTCTTGTAGTGCATTATAGCAGCATTATAATGTTATTAATAGTTCATAGATAATAAGGCTTCACTGTATATAAATATATGCAAGATAGCGCTCAAGTGTCGTATGAAGAAAAAAGTTTATCTTAATCTAATGACGGCACAGTTGATAAATTTTTGTTTTGATACGTATGTCTTTGCAGCTAAGGCCGATTCTCACTCTCTGTGTGAAACCAGGCAACATTATATTAGAGATCTTCAAGAGTTAACAGATTATTGCTTAGTGTGCGTCTACTGTTACAACTCCCAGTTAAATAATTTAAAAGCAGAAATTCTTTTTCGATATATGCGATTTGACGCGAATAATTCAACTAATTATGTGTACATCGACAATCGGTACATAGATCGAGAAATCGTGCAAAGAAAAGAAAATCTGGAAAATTTTAAAATATTTTTGACAAGATATTGTGAACTATAGCAGGAACATGTAAACGTGATCGCAATTTATTTGGTAACACGACCGCAATTAACGATAAATTCGCATCTACCTACCTATATGCCTACTCTGATTCTTCAGCCTGTTTAGTATATATAGACGAAGAATCCAAAATTGTATAGCATTTAACAATAGAAAAATAAAGACAAGAGAAGTAATAAATATATTATTATTATTATTATTATTATAATTTTGAGATTAATGAAATAAATTCTTAGATTCATTGAGCACTAGCAACCCAGGCTATCGGCTCTAATTTATAAAAGTACATAAAAGTACATTATTAGTATTGATAGAGTAATATATTGTGATGATATTCTGTTCTGTAGCTGATTGTAGACCGTCCATAGGCTTAATCGCTCCAAATGCAATACTTCTAGCCAAGGAAAAGTTAACGCAGTCACAGAAAATGTGCTTTATTGCAAGAATTTGTCCACAATTGCAGATGGGGGAGGAAGACTTCTTTAAGATCCATTGGTAAATTGCGATTGTACGGCTAAAGCGAATCCGCGAAAATGTTTCGATCTTGATTTTTTCAACATTTGTTGGATATAAAAATGGAATTAATTGAGGATTAATAGGGAGGTTTTTCTGATGACGGCATTGTAGATTTCCTTCTGTAATTTTCTGTTTAAAATTTTTTCCAATGTATCTTTGAAGATGCAACGTTTCCATGACATGATTCATAATTAGAGATGCAGAAGCAGCATACTACGTTGCTCGATCAGCCGGGTCAATTTACAATAAATCGATATGACTTGGTACCCGAAGCATTTTAATATTTCGCCGGGTGTTGTAATCATATTCCTTAATTTGTTGATGGTGCTCCATCTCGAAGTCGAAGGATTCTGTGTAGCTTTTAGTACAGGCAAACTGTCAGTAACAATCACGGTTTTGACTTTGTCTTTATCGGAAAGATTCGCAGTATGAAGGATAGCTCTGACTTCGGTTGTAAAAGTTGAAGCAATTTCGTGAAATATTTGATTGAGAAGAACCTGTACTGAAGCATCTACCATGGCACAAGCATGTGACAGACCATAAGATTTTGAGTTATTTGTATATAAAAGATTCTAACCGTTACTGTCCAGTACTTGGATTGTCTCAGCTATTAGATTCTTGAAGACGTAATTTGGAGAGTAGTATTTCACCGGCCATGAAGGTTTAAGATCAAAATAGCGGAAAATTTTTAAAGGGAATATACACTTTCTTTAATTTTAAAATATTTTTGAGAAGATATTCTGAAATATAGCAGGAATATGTATATGTGATCTTAATTTATATGGTAACGCGACCACAATTAAGGATAAAATCACACCTACCTACCTATATGCCTACCTTGATTCTTCAGCTTTTTTACTATATGGAGAAAGAATCCAAAATTGTATAGCATTTAAACAATGGAAGAATAAAGACAAAAGAAGTAATAAATATAAAAACAATAAAACGAGCGAAAAGTTTCATTTACAAAATAGCTAGAGTCAGTCATTGGCAAGACAAACGTTTACTGAAGATAAAATAATTTCTGGTTTAACATTGAGTAGATAGGGAGCAGGTGGCTGTTTATAGCTATAGTGTAGTAGTAGATAATGGTGACGGAGAAAAGATGTTTTCGAATCTGTGTAAAAATTAAAAAGAAGAAAAGATAAAAAATGTTTCTCGACTATGTTTTCATATATTTTTAAATAAGCTAAGGCAGCTTTTTTTTTAATTTTGCATAGACATTCGCTATCAAAAAATATTTACATTACATTATTATAATGTTGGCGATTAAATATTTTTTAAAGTGTTGTGAATCTTGTACTTAATGTTTAAGTAATTGCAAAGCATTAAATTTTCAATTTATATTGCATTTGGTTGCTGAAAAATGATAATAATAAATATTAGTAAAAATCTACGGAGTAGATGAACAAATATATCTTCCGATTACTTAGAATTTTTTGTTAGTATTTTCAAAAACGAAATTTATTTAAAAAACATTATCTTTTAATATTTGCAAAAATAAATAAATAAATAATAAAAAAAAATACAAAAAATAAAAAAAAAATTATAAAATAAAAAACTTGTCTCACAAAATCATGTCAAGTTTGAATTTTTTATCTGTAAACTCAAATGAAACCTTGCTTTGTTATTGGCCTTTAAACGTTGAAATTCTAAAAAGAGTATGTATGTTGTTATGTTTTGTTGTTGTTGTTGGTGTTTTTTTTTTTTTTTTTTTTCTTTACTAAATACAACGTTAAAGAGAATTTTTTAAGTATCTTTGAAATCAAAATCAAATAAAACAATTCAAATGACAAAAAAACAAAAAGAAAAAAAAAGCGACCTCAAGTCAATTAGTAAACTAAAATACATAAGCAAGGAATGTATTTATAATTACCACTGAAATAGGTTATAAACTGGTTGCCTAAATGTTTGCCTTAAACGATCTTTAAAATATTTGAAGCAAAACAATTAAATTAAATAAACGTATTAAACAATTGCCCAGATATAATAAGTGAAACAATATAGTAACAACAACAATTCTATATCTTTATTAAGCATACACACGTGACGTCAAAACTTTTTAACAAACGACTACAACTACGACTATGACTACGACTATGACTCTGACTCTGACTCTGACTGTGACTGTGACAATCATGTTAAGCTGCAATGCAAGTTTAATAAACGTCCTTGGTTTACTATAAATTTTTATTTGTATTTTGTATATTGTGTTTTTTTATTTTCTTGTTATTATGCTTCATTTTTTTTTTTAACAAAACTAACTGTCGAAAGTAAGCGCGTTCGCTGTATATTGAAAACATGGTTACCCAATAGTACTTTTTGGGAAAAAAAATTTATATTTTTAAGAGCAAACACTCTTATCCATTTTTCTTTGATAGACGCTTTCCCAAGACTCTTGGATTTTTTTTATGCAGCTTTGTTTTTCTCAGACTTGCAAACTCTATAATTATTTACTATATTACGTTAGTTCTCTTCATATATATATATATATATATATATATATCGGAATTTGTAAATTAATGTAATC